ACGATCTAGTGATGTCATGTATTGTGGTAGATATATAATGTAGTAAAACGATCTAGTGATGTCGTATATTGATGTGGATATATAATGTAGTATAACGATCTAGTGATGTCATATATTGTAGTGGATATATAGTATAGTATAACGATCTATTGATGTCATATATTGTGGTATATATATAATGTAGTATAACGATCTAGTGATTTCATATATTGTAGTGGATATATAGTATAGTATAACGATCTATTGATGTCATATATTGTGGTAGATATATAATGTAGTATAACGATCTAGTGATGTCATATATTGTAATGGATATATAATGTAATATAACGATATAGTGATGTCATATATTGTAGTGGATATATAATGTAGCATAACGATCTAGTGATGTCATATATTGTAGTGGATATATAATGTAGTATAACGATCTAGTGATGTCATATATTGTAGTGGATATATAATGTAGTATAACGATCTAGTGATGTCATATATTGTAGTGGATATATAATGTAGTATAACGATCTAGTGATGTCATATATTGTAGTGGATATATAATGTAGTATAACGATCTAGTGATGTCATATATTGTAGTGGATATATAATGTAGTATAACGATCTAGTGATGTCATATATTGTAGTGGATATATAATGTAGTATAACGATCTAGTGATGTCATATATTGTAGTGGATATATAATGTAGTATAACGATCTAGTGATGTCATATATTGTAGTGGATATATAATGTAGTATAACGATCTAGTGATGTCATATATTGTAGTGGATATATAATGTAGTATAACGATCTAGTGATGTCATATATTGTAGTGGATATATAATGTAGTATAACGATCTAGTGATTTCATATATTGTAGTGGATATATAATGTAGTAAAACGATCTAGTGATGTCATATATTGTAGTGGATATATAATGTAGCATAACGATTTAGTGATGTCCTATATTGTAGTGGATATATAATGTAGTATAACGATCTAGTGATGTCATATATTGTAGTGGATATATAATATAGTCAGGTAAAAAAAAACGTATCAGAATCATTGTAATATTGCTTCCCCTACCCCACAAGGAAACGTATCGCATATTACCACGTGAGACTCATTAACATAATCATTGTAATAGTGCTACCCTTACACCACTAGGAAACGTATAATATAAAACCACGTGAGACTCATTAACATAATCATTGTAATAATGCTACCCCTACACCACTAGGAAACGTATAATATAAAACCAGGTGAGATTCATTGACAAAATCATTGTAATAATGCTACCCCTACACCACCAGGAAACGTATAATATAAAACCAGGTGAGATTCATTGACAGGATCATTATAATAATGCTGCCGCTACCCCACAAGGAAACGTATAACATATAACCATGTGAGACTTTTTGACAGAATCATTAGCAATGCTACTCTCAACTCACCAGGAAACACATGAACGATATATTGAAATGATATCTGAGATAGGTTAAATACATCGGTTTGAAGACAAGAATTCAATGTAAAATAATTTAAACAAAATCCTTATATCAAAGTGTAGATACATGTATACCAATTTCGGAAAGGCAATACCAAAACATATGCATTTGAATGCATCCAAGAATAATGCATGAACCATAAATGATTTGTGGAATATTTTTATTGTTATTTTTGTTTTTGGCATTTTATAAGAACCGACTTTAAATATAATGTTTCACGTATTCTTGATTTATTATATTCATTTTATTCCACTTGCAGGAAAAGTTCGAGGAACTTATGCTCCGAGACAATAAAAGGTACTACAGATTATTCTGGCAAACGCAATACCACTTTTGGATCGATGGTTGGGAATCTGACCAATCCTATTCTTCTTCATTTTCCAACTTGGTCGGTAAGTTTTTTCGTCAATGTATTTATGTCAATTCTTATTCCTTTGATATCATTTAAAAAAATTAAGGCATGTCTTTTTAAAATGGAGGTGTTATTCCCACCTGGAAACACATAAACAATATTATGAATATATAACAAGATGACTTATTTACTATGATAAGGCTTTGGTTACAAGCTAACCGAGGGGATATGCAATTTCAACGACACATTTTATATAAGTCACCCCTGTTTTCGTTATTTGTATTGCATTATTGTTTCATGATGACTGTTTTTCTCTGTTTTATGTTGTAATATGTAAATGTTCATGTTTCTGTCTTGATAAAGGGGCAGAACGCCCTGAAAATTTGACTCATAGTTTTGTCTACACTGTCGTTATTACTTCTTTGCCCATATACAACTATAAATATGTATAAATATATATTACATTTTTACTTGAAGCCGAAATATATGTTCCAAGTGCTGTTTTATGGTGACGGTCAGGCGACACATCTAATAGGTTCCTACCTGGTCACACCATTCCTGCCAAATACAAGTGCAACAACAGAGGGCCAGGACGTCAGACATTTTACAAAGACGTATGATAACACAGGAGCTATGTAGGTGCCTGCATCAATATGATAAGTCACAACTTGTCAAATGTATAAGTATATACCTTGAAACTTGGATATGGAAAACGTGACATTTAAATAACGAAAGAGATATACCCAGTGCAATTTACGCATCGATCGCTACATAGAGATCTTTAAGCAAGGAAATGGTAGTAAAACAAAGTATTTAAGTTCAAGACAAACAAAGTTTTAAACATAAACCCTTAGTATTTGAAAGAACCCACCGACAAAAACTATATACCGGAAATTTCTCACTGGAATTTCTCTTTAAGGGAATTTATTTTTATTGGCCTATTTTTCCTTGACCTCTGGTATATTTTATTATGCAATACAATACAAAAACGTTAAAAGAATGTTTTGCCAGGGTTTGAGTTCCCTGGTCATTACAATGAGTTTTCAGACTTCAACTCATTCAAATATGTTATCATCACTGACAGAATGACATTTAAAATAACAAATGGGTTTCTTTTTATATTTTATTTAGACTGACCTTAGATTACGAGGTGTTTCGAAGATTGTGTACACCACAACCCGAACAGCATCGTGTGTGTAATCAAGATGGCCGCCTGGTTTGTGAGACGGACCACTACGGACCAAACTGTGACAAGATCTGTGTACCTAACCACCACGGAACCTGTGACAAGCTTGGGCATTTGATATGTAATAACAGCTACTACGGACCCAAGTGTGATGTACACTGCGTGCCTACCGGACAGAATACATGTGACAATAACGGAAAACTACGATGTCAACCGAACTATTACGGAACACAGTGTGATGTTCATTGCGTATCAACTATACACGGAAGATGTGACCCACACGGAAAGCTACGATGCTTTAACTACTATTACGGTCCTAGATGTAACTTACACTGTGAGGCTACAGGTAATACAAATTGTACCAACACAGGAAAAACGGTTTGTAATGTATGGAAATAATTGTGAATCCCGTTGCGGCACTAGCGTTATAACCCATTTTAGACGGAATAACGAAGGGACGATTCAGTTGTTGTAACCAGGTGGAGAGGGTTTACTTTGTGTTTCTATAATTATACAGTGATTTATAAAAAAGGAAGGGATATACGTGACCGGTTAGTTTGATTTTGCCATGAGGCCCTCCAAGTGATAATTGTTGTGATTGCCACGGCGTATTCTGCTCTCTCCTCTGTCGAGGCTCAGGGTCAAATGAGATACGTGCGCTATTAGATTTACATAATTTATAATATTACCGGGTTAAGTAAAATAGTATGATTTAAATATATTGTTGAATTAAACGATTTAGTTTTTGTTTTTACATGCAAGATTTAAATTAGTACTAATATGAATACCCGGCCTCCTCTAGCTTCGTCAGAAAGCTACGTTATCGGAGCTAGTTGAAAAATGTCAAAATGACCGACCAGGATGAATAACTGAGGAAGGAGAACCTACTTCTAGTAATTAGGATCGGATAACATTTTTTTTAAATCGTAATTTTTCAACAGTTCATGTTTTCATATCATGTTGACTTAGAATGTATGATCATGCAACAACCTTTTCTCTATAAAGAATTAATTTTCAACATCAGATAGAGTCGGATAACGTATTGAAAACAGGGGGGGAAATATTTGATTATGTTGTAAAAATGACGAATGCTGCGGATAACTAAGGCTTCTGTTTCAGACAAAAGGAACTGATTAAAGAAAAGTTGTCTCAACATAAAAAAGTTCCATTTACAAGTATGCTTTAAACTCTGTAAAGTATTGAAAAAACATAATTATCAAGTATCTCAACACGTTCCATATATGATACATATTCTACATGTACACGCAGTGGTATTGCCATACAGTTTATTGTGTGTGATGGTTAATATGACTTCCTAAATGTTAGCGTATGGAGACAGTGAACGTGGGGAAGAGAGCTAGAGTTATACATAAATGTATATGCATGGTCTAGAAAACAAAATCTGCCAAAGGCATTGAGTTGTACAATGTAATAACAAAATTTACAAACGTTTCTCTTTTTTTTTATACGCGTGCAGTTTGTCATTGCATATATGCACTTTATGAAAACATTTAAAAATAAATGGATATTCGTCTAGTTTATATTCCTTTTTATAGAAAGGTTTGTCCCATGGTTGAGGGAAGGTGTTTAGCCCCGTACCATCTGTACCAGTCACATTCCGGTACTAAATTCAATACATATTTATATATATCTACTTTATGTGTATGCCTATTGTCATTCACATTGACATTTAATTGTATAAATTGAAAAAAACTTTTGCCCCATCGAAGGGTTCAATTTTATTGGCAACATATATGTTTTAAGCTAAATAAATTTAGATTCTGAATATTGGCAAGTGTGCAATTAACTTCTGATGAATAATAATTACTGCTCAATAAGTTTGAATACGGACTTAAAAAGCATATTACTTGGTTTCATAGTGCGGTAAGAAGTTGCAGTTGCCTGACGCCCCGTCTCTCGGGGCCCATTTGGAAACCGTTTCATCTCGCTCAGTCCACTTGTTTTTACTGCCTAGTCAGGTGACGTTATCGGCGCTATATTTAGCAGGGCTTTCCCGAACAATTCAAGTGGTCAAACTGGAAATTTGGAATGGACATACATACATTCATTAAAAATAATATGGCTCTTCACGTGATGTCCCTTAAAGGTATACTAAAATCCATTTCGTTTCTGAGGTTTTGAGACTGAACGAAAATATTTATTTATTTTTCCAATTCCTTCCTCATTATACTACAATGACTGAATCAGAAGCTTTCTGCTAAATCATTCTCGTCATGTATTATTTTTTCTTTTAATGAAGGGTATACGGGACAAAACTGTGGCCAGAATATTGATGAATGTATGAACATCACGTGCTTTAACGGCGGAAGTTGTATTGACAGAATGAATGCCTACACATGCGTGTGTTCTAGCGGTTATTCTGGACCTCACTGTGAAGTTGACATAGAAAAGTGCAGAAGTAACCCATGTCACAACAACGGAACATGTGTCAACCATAACGGTGATTTCTTCTGTGCATGCGCAAATGGATGGACCGGAAGTGCTTGTGATGTTAATATAGATGATTGCATAAATGTTATGTGCATGAACAATGGCACATGTGTGGATCGGGTAGGGTCATTTGAATGTCAATGTGAAGCAAGTTACACGGGTGATTTATGCAATACAAAGATATACGACCCCTGTGCGTCCTCTCCATGTAACAATGGCAGACGTTGCCAGACGTCACAAGGACGATATATTTGCTCCTGCCCAGATGGCTTCGTGGGACCTTTATGCGGTTCTGTTCCTCAGTTTTTAACATCCGACGCGCCAGTTTTTTCAACCTCAATTTTATCCAACCACTACAGTTCTGATACTTTGCAGCTGCATTCATCGCATGCGTCAACAATAGACCTCTTTCTGACAGCTTCGTCAGAAACAAGTTACAACGAACGAAAATTCACTCCAACTTTAGAAAAAGGTCCATTCAGTACATCTACACACACTGTGTCAGCAAAGATTTACCCTGATTCTATTTTCGTTTCTCAAAAACAATCGACAAATAATATAGTGTCATCTTTTAGTCACAATATTCTTCCGACACGCACCACTGGTTCATTTGGAAAAATGACAGACACTATACCTGAAACATTTACGATTAGAAGCGCAACGGCGTATCCATCTTCTACAAATGGTGTTGTGACCAGTAGCCATAATGCTATTCGTACTAAGGTAGTTAATATAGTTCCAACGAAGAGTTTAATAACACCGGTCACAACAACAGGTGCGTATAGCAGATATCTTAGTTTATGTTTTGAACGGTAAATATCAGGTTTAGTTTTAAAACTTTCATAGATGGCTTCATCATCTAATTAGTTTTCACTTTCACACAGGAGTTATCTAATAATTTAACCAAAATAACAGCAGAAGTGGAAAACCATACCCGAATTACCTGCAATTTGTTTCACTATACCCAGTATTGTGGTCTTCCTTGACAATAGCGAACCTATTTTTGTATTCGTAGATGGTACGACCTATACATCTATTCAGTTGAACTTTGATGGAATCATCGACCAAACCTCACTTCCAAAAGTTTACAATGCACTGACGACAATATTGTCTTCGAAATTGTGTTCTGGTTCAAAGGTCCATTTGAAAGAACAGCGGAGGACAGAACAAAGGGATAAAGGGTATACGAATTTATAATTTAATATTAAAGCTTGAATTCCTGAAAATATTCTATTGCATCGTGGTGACGATTTTTCTATTTAGAAACTATTATAAGGGAGAAAAATTGAACATCAATGCACCATGCAATAATTTGTGAACCGCTTTGAGACGACCTACGAGAACCTCCAATTATTATATTATTTATTAATTAACATTGCTCAGTAATATTAATAATCTGTAAGCAGATAAAAGCTTTGGATACCAGATCATTTTAACTCATTCACCCCTGAAATTTCATAATGAATCATTCCATCCTTTGAATGGGAAGAGTTAAATATGTCTTCATGGGAGAATGAGTTAAACAACAAGAACATAATTGTCCACGCGGAATATCTTACGTTGTTCCTCTCATTATTGTCGCGCTATAATTTAAAACAATATTTATGTTTAGTTGCAATTGATCAAGTTGATCATTGATACCATGTTTGCATCTCACATATTTTGTTCTCAATCATCAAATTGTGACTAAATCCTTCTTTATTCAATTGTTATTGTTAGGAAAAAGCAATCGACCTTGACACTGTCTGTCTCGTGCGTTGGAAAATCCCTCAACACGAGAGATATCTATGAGGAGGTGTACAAAGCTCCGGATACCACTTTCCCTCTCCCGCTTATTAACACCAACCATCACACTACCAACCCACCATCAGAGGAATCAGATGTAAGAAATTTATTAAGATCTTCAATTCCTATTGAAATTCAATATTAGAAATGTGAATGTTTAAAGAACATTTTGCGTGATTTCGTTTCGTAATTATTCAAGATGCGGACACAATCAAGTACACAATGATTCCGAAAGTATTATAAATAGCGTTTCGTCTTGCGTTCATAATTTGGAAATGGTTTTGGTAACGCGCAATATGTGCTAAACTATCAACGCTGCGAAAATTTCCACTTTTACAGATTTGTTAAAGTATCACAATTCTACACCCACGAAATTAATAAAAATAGAGAAATCTTTCCGACAATCATATTTGTTACAATTGCATGTTACATGTATACTTAAATACAACCAATGGTCTTCTAACCCTGCTATGTAAACCATAGAACTGGCTGGAAAACAACTGGAAAATCCTACTAGTTGCGTCTATGGGTGTGACTGTGATCATGATCATCATTGTCGGTATACAGCTCGCAAAACGGTTAGTACAATTTCGTATCATCAGAAATGTTAGATAAGGTAAGTCTAAGGAAATGATCTCTTTTGCATTTGGACCTAGTTCCAATAATAATAAAAAAAAATATTTTAAATATCTTTACACAGATTAATATCAAAATATAAAGACCTGAAAATGGAATATACATAAAAGTGAAATCTGGTCCCAGAGCATTCGATGTTTTAAAACTAGGAAACCTTTGTTTAGCGACGTATATGAGATGTTGTATTTATAACGAAAACAACTGAATCGTCCTATCAAAAAAATACTTATATTAATATTTGTTATTCTGTTTGAAGGTCCAAACGACGGTACGTGATGGGGCCGCAGGATTTCAGAGAAGCAAGTGACAATGTACACATTAACCCATTGTATATGGAATCGGAACATGTTGTCAAATTACATGAATTTGAATACGACGCGTGATAGATTACAACAAACTACATATCTAACCCTGAACAAAATGCAGTTTTGCTTAAAAGAATAACACTCACGAAATTAATATATTGTCAAAATGAAAAAAAAATAACGCAGTGTAGAAGAACTTTAAACAGAGATTTTGTTTCAGGAGGATAAGAACAGAATTTGACAATATGATAGAAATTCTAGAGGTTTCGTTCGCTTACGTTCTCTTCACCGATCGAATAAGTCACTACATAACTGAACCATGTTACGCACTATTTAAGTAGAGTAATTTGTATCATTCAGGTACATCAAAAGAATTGCGCAGCAGCATAACGGTAAATTGTCTTTAAAGGACAGATATCAGTCTGGCTACTGGTAAGGTTTTTTTTATGAAAAGAAACCTATCAAAAGGCTAACTTTGTGCCTTCGCTTTTGCCATAACATATTCCAGGGAGGAGAGAACGAAAATGATCGCAAGCCTTGGAATTTCCAGGATGGACAATATGGTGTTTTTGACGATAATTTGTTATACACATGTGCGGGTTAATAAATTTATTAATATTCGATTTTCCACCGTTATATAATAAACGAAAATTGTGAATGACTTATCAAATAGAAAGAAGTCATATTAATATATCTTTCGTCATGAATATCTTTTTGATATATCTAAGCATAATTAAATCATTTTCGTTACAAGTGTTTTTTGATTTTGTGTCTGAAAATGTGATTAAAAGACATCTTTTATATCAAAAGATACATGTATTTTTGTATTGCTGTTAAAATTAATTTGGAATCATTATTTAAATAAATTTCTTAAAATTCATAAAAAAAATGTTGAAATAATAATGATGAGTAATGTTTTATTCATTTTTCCATGAAAAGTCGGTTTGCGATATATTCACTTCATTGTTTAGTTCAGAAAATATGACGGCTTAATACTTTATTTTTAGGTTTTATTTTTAATATTAGTATACCCCATAACGTCTGTCAGGCCATAAAAGTGACAAATGATTGACAAACATATGGTATTTAACAATTTTTCCAAGTCTGATAATAATTTGACGAAAAAATTACACTTTCAAATGATTCTTTTCAAAATTGTAGTAAAATTAAAAATAAAGTTTTTCTGTAAAATCTGTGACCCTAGTCATCTTACTCCATTCAGGATATATGTTGGCAAATAACGTATTGGACGCGTGGCGCTCACCAACCAAAGGCTGCAGTAAAAGCAACCTTACTACGCTAAACCGCGTAAATAATGAAGCAGAACCCAAATTAAAGTTATGATCTATTTTGCCAATCAAAGACTTGTTTTTATTCTATGATTTAATAAATTTAAGAATAGGATATTCATGGTGTATCAATTACACTGCGAACAGCACTAGTAATAGCAATAAAGTTTCGTAACAGTTAAATATCCGCCTTCTGTTAAAAGGACAAACTTATACAGGGATGTCAGCGTTTCAGTTGAGCGATTTTGCGTTTTCATTCCGTTTTCATTCCATTTCATTCGCGTTTTCATTTCATTTTGTTCTCAAGATTCATTTCGTTCCGTTCTGTCGCAGACCGTTTTTTTCGTTTCGTTCTGCTTCGTTCTATGTAAAATCCGCTCTACCCTAATCGTTCCGTTTCGCTCCGTCCAAGTCCGAGTCGAGCTTTCGTTTCGTTCCGTTCTACACTCATTCCGTTTCGTTCCATCGTCGAGGCGCTTGTACAATGATGTGAAACAAAATGTCGGTGGTAACTAAGGCAGCCTCAAAAACTTAACGACTCATGATCAGCTTTTTTAGACAACTCTACATACACTTTCGATTTTGTCGCAAAATGCCTGTTAGATGCAGTTGCGTCGAGTTTTCAGGTTTAATGTACAGGAATCTCACGAACATACTTTATTTTTACGAGATCGTCGGTCCGGAATAAGAGAAAAACAAAACGAATGCACATGTCGTCATGTGTGATTATTACCCTCTAATTCGCGATAGATACATGTGGTTATAAGTGTGCTGTGACCCGTATCAGTATAACATGTATATGTTCATTCAGAGACATTTAAAACAAATGATGTTACGAACCGTGCGGCTGAAGTTGCAGGATATTACTATCCCGAGGCGGAGGGTTAAAACTAGCTTACAAGATTTTTTTTATTACAGACCTAATAGGATATTAGTTATCAGCATACTCATTTATTTTCTGTTTCACAGACCCCCTAGAAAGATTGTGATACCATAATCATATAGGCCCATACATTTGTTTTATGTCAATTCCACTTTACCTTAGTTCCCATACCCCAGCACAGGGACCTGAAAATTTGTTACAGCTACCTGCTATATTAAGTCATAAACTAAGGTGTTCAGAGTTTCCGAATTCGTCAATCTAAAATCATTAAAGATGTATAGTTACTCTGAACACCTTAGTTTAGGTCCAAATATAGATGTTTCAAATTCTCGGGTCCCTTTGCACAGCAGCTGTTAGTCGGAAGTTGTGTTAATTGATAATATTAAAATAAAAAATACCCCCAATAATATGCTTCAAATATCAAGCATATAATTATTAAAGAGGGTTATATTATCACTATTATTATTGATTATTAACCGAATTTTAGACTCATTTGACCACATCATGATTATATCAAAACCATTATAGTCAGTACATTTAACCTATTTCAGCAGATTCGATAAGGTTGGTCTTGGATTTCAACCTGGACTTCTGAACTCTAAATGGGCACTCTGATTAATTGAGCTAATTACTGGTTGTCAGCGATCCACCTACTCCAGTTCCGCTTACATACATTCCTCCCGTAGTCTTTGACTCCGAGGACATGACCACAAGATCCTTATATGGGTATTGCTACCAGACCAAGATTCAAGCCTATGACCTGCAAACTCTTACACATGACAATCTTAACCAAAGGAGCTTCGTGCTCCCTGGTGATTGGCCAAGTCCAGTCCCGCAACATTATAAAGCATGAATCTGATAGTGAGTTTGACTGTCATTACGAGAGCTATCAAAATGTTCATCCTGTAACACACATGTGAACACAGAATTTTGAAAACCAAGAAAATTCAAGTTAACATCATTAATAATAAAGTTTGAGAGGAAGCACACAAAGATACCCTGTTTCCTGCATACACACAAGCAGGCGCATACACTATACACACAAGGAGGCACGTCCTTAAATGACCTTAGCTGTTAATAGGAAGTTAACAAAATTAAACCAAACCAATTGAGATGAATCAATTGATATAGTGTTCAGTTTAATATATAGTTCTGTATTAATAAATGCAAATAATTTACTTATGAATAATGCAAAAACTAGCTAAGGACGATAAATGCCATTTTTAGAAGCACCCTAGTTTCATTTCATTTACCAGTTAGGTAATAAATTACATTTCGAATCGCATGCATAGACCTGTTATTTCGAGAGAAAAAAACAATCAAAGTTTACATGCAATAAAGACTACAACGTTACTGTGATAAGAAATTGACAAAGAAGAAAGGAAATGTTATACAAGTAATGAGTTAACAAATTATTTGCCCTACTAAGCTGAGCCTAGGAGCTATTGAATTTTATCTAAATCAAATGTTACCTATAGCGTGTGACAGCTCATTTATTTTTTAGCTGATATTTATAGGTTTCAGCGATAGACTTTCCTTATTAATTACAATTATTCTATGTGTTTGGAATTCAGTTGTATTCATCAAATTACACTGTATGACAAAAAAAATATCATAACTGGAACCTGGTGAAAATGCCACCTAAACTAAAGGTAAAGGTTACAGAAAATTATGAATTATTATTTTATGTCCATCAAAACCTTGATGGGATATTTGTGGTTAAATATTTAATGAATCTTGCTAAGCATGTACAATTTACAAAGACTGGGCAAGTTTAAAGCTGAGCAAAATCTGTGCATTATTAATTAGCATAATGTCCTCTGATTGGTTGATGGTTTAAATTTTTCTGCACAACAACCATGACAGGATTTTGATGACACTTTGTCAATATTTGTTTTATAAAAAAACGAAAACTTAAGTTGAATTTTAGCAAAATCTGTACACAGTTAATAAGCATCCCTAGTTTCCACAAGCTAATTTGCTTAAATGTCATTCAAATGTTATCAAACTTTCTAATCATGTACAATATACAAAGACTGAGGCTAACTTTGAAGTTCAGCCATATATGCACAAAACTATTTAGCGTTCTAACATTATGTCCAGATTTTTCAGGAACTTGGTCAATATTTTATATTATAGAAAGACAAAGGCTGAGTTTAAAGTTGAGCAAATTCTATACATGATTAATTAGTATACTCTTGATGCATTGGATTGAATCCGCACACTACCTTAATGAAATGTGAATGGATATTGTTGATAAGTGGACTCTGTTTAGACCAAACACCAGAGGGACCATATTATTTGGGTGGTTTGCAGAGAGTTCCAGATTGTAGAGGGTTCCGGTTTGTAGAGAGTCTGCTTCAACTTTATTTCTAAATTCTTGATAAGAATACAATCAATTTTACCCATGCGATATAAACCTTCCCTCCAAAATGTATCAGTCAGGTGTGTAATAATTAACCTGTATCAGCCTAATGTGTTATAACATAACTTGCATCAGCCCTGTGACATCACAGCCTGGTTAAATATCCAGATTTTAATCTGTATTCTAGTTTATATTGCGGCTGATTCCAAAACGGAGTCTGCTGATGGAGACCAAGTTTATAGACATGATCACTTAACAGAACAAAAATTCAGGAAAAGCATTTGCGAATTTCATTGTGGACCAGATAAAATGTGCAAATACAAGAGGAAAACAGTAAGCGATAGAAAACTTGTAGCCAACTGGTTATCTACACAAAATGAAAACAGATAGATTGAAATATGTTCCCCCCTACAAAATATATATGTATCATACACTTGTTAAGAATAAAATGAATTTTATTATAAAATTGATAAATTATTATTAATTAAATTTGGAATTTTGTTCAAATAAAATACTAGATGTTATCTGAAACATCTCTGTTATATTCTTAACAAGAATATAATAAATAGTTTAAAACATGGCCATTTTTATATCATACCCAGTCTTTATCTTTGATCCCGACATCAGCCCTCAGGCTCTCTGGCTGATAGTAGGGTCTTGAGTGAAAATAGGGTAAAATTAGATGTCACATATTTTCCTACAATCTCATTTGTAGGATCATAGGTAATCACGTGGAGGTTACTAATTTGTGATATTAACTTGATGTTACTAGTTTTAGAAAACAAACAACAGCAGGTTAATATTATTCACTTATGAAGTCATTTCAATTTTAACGTCACAATGCTCAATCTCTTCCAAATGTACAATTTGCATATGTTCCATCTTGTTTGATGATAACAACTAAGGACTTTTATTTCGATTGATATGCGGTGATATAATAAACCTGAGAAACTGATATTGACCGAGATGAAGGTCAGTATCACTTTCTCAGGTCCATATAGTTCTTATTACCACATATTCACCTCAATAAAAGTCTATTAATTGATAACGATATGAAAATGGTCATATAATAAATACTGCAACAATCCTTTATTGATTTTAAGTAAAGATAACATTATACAAAACAAATAAAATATCATTCCATTCATGATCACTGATATGAACAGAATACACTTTACAAGCTTT